CGTTTGAGCCACATTATTTGTAGAATAAGAATGAAAAATAGAGCCGTTATGGGGCCCCATACAAGAGATAAAAATTCAAAAATGGTGGTTTGATGTGATGGATAACGGTCTTATTTTTCATTTTAATGAGGTAAAAATGGAGCTCAAACAGGGCCTAAATATGAGTACTTTTTGTTATTTACTAATAATTTTGAATTAAAAATATATAATAGCTATACTAAGAAAGAAAAATGATTATCGTAGAGTGTCCAAAAAGTGTTGGTATCGACACATGTTTGATACGGACACGCTACCCTAGTTAGATTGTCCGTGCTATAGAGGCATCAAGGTAAATTATAGCATTTTGTTAGAATATCACGTATACAATCCCTATACTTAAGGGTCTAAGTCAACCAGAATATATGAAGTTACATTATGCTCCTACCTGATCAGCTTCCAGCACCCTAGATAAAAGCCCAACATGTATTCAAATGATAATCTTACTTGTCATAGAGTGGATAGGATAACAAAAGACATTGACCAGATAACTTGAGGGTCTGTTTTGGTTTTTGAATTTTCAAACATATAAAATAAGACTTGTAAAAAAACCAAGATTATAAAAGAAAATACCATATTTTGTATGTTTGACAAGTCATCTGAGCTTAGAAGTATGACAAACGGCATAAGTCGAGAACCATTATGTTAAGAAGTCCATTAAAAGCTAGATCTGTAATTATGATCAGCTTCATGTACACACATACAATTATTAATTCCTTTCTGGTTAATGAATGGAACCACTGTGGTGCATCACTGCTAGTAAATTTGTAACTATACTATGTTACCCTTTTTTTAAATTCCCCTACTATGCTTCATATAAATAGGAAATCTGTTTCTAATATAGTGCACAACACATCAGTGGCATATCAGAGATTTTTATCTACCAATTGCATCATTTAAGACGTGAATATTTTTTCTGTTAGTGTCACGTTAAACGACAAATTTTCAAATTATACATATTCATACAAAATCCTAGTGAAAAATAAATAAATTCTAGATACATTTCCACTCTGCTCACAAACAGAAAGACAGCAAAAATGATGCATCCCAGGAGATTTAATGTTACAAGCAGCATTTAAAAGTAGAATATAATAGGTTATGAATCTTTTCCTTCTTTCAACACAATTCTATTGCACAATCATTAAAAAAAATAATAAATAAATAAAACTAAGAATAGCAACAGCAAATGTAGCTGTATAAACTAATGCAATTATTCATCGACATAAAAACAACCAATTATAAGCCGTTTTCATCGAAGAACTTACTTGCGGCAGATCATCTTATCTTGGTTATACTTCCTAGCCAAAGCCATCAACGACGGCTCAATAATACCTCCACGCAGCCTGAGAACCAAATGCAAAGTCGACTCTACAGAGACAAATTTTCAATCATAAATACCAATCCGAATCCAGAAAGGAACAAATCTTGATGCTTAAAATTCACCTTTCTGAATATTGTAATCAGCAAGGGTGCGGCCATCTTCCAGCTGCTTTCCAGCAAATATCAATCGCTGCTGATCCGGGGGAATTCCTAAAAATATCGAAATTATTAAAAAATACAAAATGATACATAAGTTAAACAAATGAATGAATTACGATTATTCGACAAAAAAAAAAAAAATACCTTCTTTGTCTTGAATTTTGGCTTTGACATTGTCAATAGTATCGCTCGACTCGACCTCGAGCGTTATGGTTTTCCCGGTGAGCGTTTTCACGAAGATCTGCATTTTCCTCGTCGGCGCTGTACTTTCTGATGCAAAAATATTTTTCTGGTTAGCGTACGTTTATATAGATAGGCACCATTAGGGTTTTATTGTGGGATTGGGCCACACTGGTTACCAGGTGATATGTCAAATATGGGCCCATAAAAGCTCTTCTATGTATTGGGCTTTCTTAGCATTTGATTCAGATAAGGAATATATATATATATATATATATATATATATATATATA